CCTCATTCGCTAAATAAATTATTCCGTTTCACTACATAATTTATTCGCGCTCATTTAATTATTTCTTGATATTTAATTGTCTTTCCTGCTATTCTGAAATTCTACTATTCGCTCAATAAATTATTCTGTTTCACTACATAATTTATTTGCGCTCATTTAATTATTTCTCCAGATTTGATTGTCTGTCCTGCTATTCGCGCTCATTTAATTATTTCTTCAGATTTAATTGTCTGTGCGACATTGAAATTTATTTATTTTATTATTATTATTTATTTCTGATTTAAAATAAGATAAATTATTTTATTTTTTATTTATAAATTGATACAATTTTAACTCTGAAATCTTTACAAACAAATAAATTCTGAGCATCAAATTAAATAAGATCAAATTAATTCTTCCTATTTATTCGCGCTCATTTAATTATTTTGTTTCACTACAAAATTTATTCGCGCTTATTTAATTATTTCTTCAGACATAATTAAGTGCGGCAATTGAGAATATTTAATTATTTTTTTAATTATTTTTTCTGATTTAAAATTGGAATAATAATTAGGTGATAAAAAAATATATATTGAGTCAAAATAAATTATTCCGTTGCACTACATAATTTATTTGAACGAATAGTTGGAATTGAAATGAATAATTAGGTGATAAAAAAATAGATATTGAGTGAAAATAAATTATTCCGTTGCACTACATAATTTATTTGAACAAATAGTTGGAATTGGAATGAATAATTAGGTGATAAAAAAATAGATATTGAGTGAAAATAAATTATGTAGTGCAACGGAATAATTTATTTGAACGAATCAAATTATATAGAGCAACAGAATAATTTATTTGAACGAATAGTTGGAATTGAGGTGGAAAAAAATTGAAAAATATAATTCAGAAAAAAGATAAAAATAATATATTCAAAAATCAATTAAAATAAAGAATAAAGCATAATGTAAAACAACATACATAGTAAAAGGATTCTTATAATTTTTAGGAAACTAAAAACAAGAAATATATGATCTAAATCATTAACATATAAACAAATAAACATTATAATTGAATAAGTAATTCATAGATTATTATCCATTCGAAGATGAAGAAGAAGAAAGAAAATTATGGGATAAAACAAAGAAAATGTTCAATTACGGTCATTATATCTTACGTTTTTACAATTAATAGATCTATATAATATAATAGGATAAAATATACTAAACCATAAATATGGATAAAATCGAATACCTTAATTATGATTAAAATTTCGCTTTAAAAATGGTGTAAATAAATAAACTAGTTAAATAATCTTGCGAAGATATACAATTATTTATCTCATAAGCCATCAATTTCTTGAATATGTGTATAAATTTGGGACATATTGAAAAATAAAAAAGAAAACTAACTTTCCATTTTAACAATTATCTTCTATCCTTTAATATAATAATTAATATAATAGAAGACGAAGATCCTGAAAATGAGTCAGGTTTAAAGATGATTTTAATAATAAGAAAAGGAAAAATATGTTTTCTGATTATTTACATCATAATTATCATTTCAATGACATCACATTTTTGATACTCTATAAGATTTATTAATATCTAGATTTAGAATCTGAATTATAAGTCTTCAATAAGAATTACATATTTTCTCAAGATGAAAATGAAAGAGAATCTTGTTATATTCCAATTTATAAAAAGATTTATCTTAATAATAAAAACAGAATTAGAGTTGAGCCTGATGAACTTTTCATGTTATAAAAAATTCAATCTATTTATGAGAAGATATTTAATAATAACATTGTTCTTATTTATAGATGTTATAAAAAATTATGCAAAGATATATTATTATTAAAATTGATAAATGATAATAATTGGAAAGGATGGATTGAGTTAGCGTTTGTCTGTTTTTAAATAAATAATGGAATTTTTACCTTAAAATGTTAGCACATATAAAGGTATTTACGATTATGAGAATATCCATATTTACAACTCTAAATGTAATTATAATGGAGAGAAATGTAAGTTCTGTTCAATTTATGAAATTTTTGATTTATTTGATTTGATTTGATTAATTTTCTTTTTATTTAATAATAATTTAATTAATTTTTAATTTATCTAAAATTAAATAAAAATTGAAAAATAATAATTGTGAAAAGGTAATATAAATAAATAATAGAAAAATAAATATAAGGAAGAATGAGCAATAAGAAAATAAATGATCCTTAGGATTTAGATAGTTTCGAGCATCCTTAAGGTTAAAACTCTAAAAAAGTGAAAATAGAAGAAGAACAAAATCAATAAATTTCTGGTTAAGATTTTGGTTGCGAAATATCAAAAAAATAAATTCAGAATGATCATCATTCCTAAATGAATAAATAATCTTAATAGGAAGAACCTATAACTTAAAGTGTAAATTTACCTTAAAGCGAAGCTTTACTTGGTGGTGCTATTGTATCTAATAAAATAATTTTACACAATAGCATGAGTGTGAATATATTCAAAAGTATGCCTGTATCCAATATCATACCTGCATCTAATAACATGTCTGTACCAAATAGCATGTCTATACCAAATAATATATCTGTATCAAAAAGTATACCTGCATTTGATAACAAGCCTGTACCTTATAGTATGTCTGTATCCAGTATCATTTCTGCATCCAATAGTATATATGAACCTAATAATGTACCTATACCCTAAAACGGAATCGTGACCAAAATCTACCCTATGCTCCAGCGTAAAAATTTTGAATAAATATGTCTTTTAAATTTTAATTACTTGCATCAGGTTAAGGTCAGAATTAAATTCTAAAATTTAATTTCTCAAAAATAAATATAGGAAATATAATTAAAATTATTACCGAATGTTTTTTCGTTAAATAATAAATATTTAAAGGTTAAAATTTATTCGATTATCTTTGTTAAATACAGAAAAATTTGTATGAAAGATTAGATATATTTTTGAAATTAAGTCAAAAATAATACGACTTCGTCATCAGTGACTATTCTAATATTAAGAAAGATTTTAACGCTTTTTATGAATTCTTCAATTAAACTTTTAGAGAAACTGCTTAAAATTATTTTTAAAGTAAATTTGGAATGTAAGCTATGTTTAATGAAGCTTTATTTAATAAATTGGTGGATAAAATAGTTATTTAGTAGCCATATGGATGTGCTGACTTGTCAAAAGATTATTTTATAAAATATATGTTAAATCCAGATCATATTTAAACCCATATCTAAAGATTCCCAAAAATGGTAAATAGTGATTTGAAACATTTTGCGACTTTTGCTACTGAATGCAATAAATTAAAAAAAACAGTTGATTATGTGGTTTTTAATTCCGATACAGTTTAACAACACCAAAGTTTTGTACCAGTTTTAAAATTAGATGATAATTTAAATTTAAATGAATAATTATCTATTTCTACGAAGTTGATTTATTTCCACTAAATCGGAATTGAAAAGTTTATAAATGAAATGTAAGGATTCTTAAGATAAGATCTAAACATATAATTTAGTATATATTTCTCCCTTGTAATAATAAAAAAATTGTTCTTTGCATGCGATTTTTATGGAGATCCTCTAGAAGATACTGAATTGCAAAATTTTATTGAATCTATGAAACTCTTTTAATAATATTATACCGGGTAAGAATTTAATTTATAGATTAATAGAAATCATGCTCCGTATTGTAATAATATACATATCAATGCTTAAGTTTATAAAGAAGCACAAGTCTAACAAATAAAATTAATAAATGATAATTTAAACAAATCATTATTCTGATAATAAAAACAACAAAAAAAAAACAAAATAAAAATAAAAAAACAAAAAAAAAAAACTTTTAGTTTTGAATATATAATATCTAATATATAAAGTATCTAACCGATAAAGTAATATAAATAAAATGGAAGAAGATAGTTTTGACTATGAAAAATATAAACAATAAAACATGGAATTGTTTTAGAATAAAAAATAAAAAGATCTTGGAAAGAAAAATAATGACGAAGAATAGAAACAAATAGATAGTTAGATGTATAAAGCTAGAATAAGAGATTCTAATAATGTTTAAGATTCTTAATAAGGATATCATCCTGAAAAATAAAACACTGTTCGATAAATGAACATACCATTTTAACTTTCGAATAACACGATGTTATAAAAAAGCATAAATAAAATAGATAAAAAAAGTTATGAGTTAGAATATGGTAATCATAAAATAATGTACGAATATATCTATATTATGTTCAAAAAAGAATTTGAATAAGGAAAAACTTTCTTTGAAACAGTAAGATAAGAATTTGAATCATAGTTCTGTCTGTAATGATGATCGTTTAGTTATATAGTCATAAAGTATGATACAATTTAAATAAATCACAGATATTAAAGTTGAAAAAAATTAAATTAATTATTTATTTTTGAAATTATAATAAATATAAATTATTAATTAATTATAATTCTATTATAAAATATATATATAAATTAGATTTTTTAATAAATAAATAAATAAAAAATATATTTCATAATAAGTGTCAGGCAAACCATGAAATTTTTTTTTGTATGGTATAATGCTATAATTAGAAATATTATAAATATTCCTAAAATTACAGAGCTAAAACAGAAAAATCTACTGATAAACATTATTTTTATAATACTTAAGAACATTAACTACCAGATTTTTTTCAAATATTACTAAATAAATAACTGGCTGTCTTTAATTCCTACTATATTTTTAAGTATATGTTTTAAATAAAAATATTAAGTTTAAATAGTGAATGTGATATCTCTTCATAAAACCAAATATATAAATTAATATTTGATAATTAATTAATTATTATATTTATTTGTTCTTTTTATCCATTTATTATTAATTAATTAATTAAATTTCATAAACTGCTATTCAATATTTTTCAAAAAAAAAAAAAATGATATAATAGATTAAATATTATTAAGAATTAGAAGAAGTAATTATTATTTTTTTTATTAATAACTTTTAAATTTATATAAATTAATAAAAAAAGTTTAAAAGCTCTTCACTTTTATCTCATTAGGTTCTCCATATTAATCTGAGGAATATTTAATTAAAAAATATTATTTTTATTATTATTAATATTTTTGTATATTTAATTTTAAATTGATTTAAATAAAAAATTTATATAAAAGAAATTATCATCATTATT